ACCGCCCTGCGCACCTGCCAGCTGGCCCTGGAGGGCCTCACGGCCGACGAGGTGGGGGACTGCCTGGCCGTCGAGGCCGAGGTCAGCATAGGCGGCCTCGGCAGCTCCTCGGCAGAATTCAAGGCCTGTGAGGAGAAGAAGCGGCGGCACAAGCTGGAGGCCTCTTTCCACCACACCTACCGGGAGCGCCATTCCGAAGTGGTTGGCGGCCACCACGCCTCCATGCACGACCTGCTGTTCGGGAGCCAGGTTGGGCCTGAGCAGTTCTCGGCCTGGGTGGCCTCGCTGCCCGACAGCCCCGGCCTGGTGGACTTCAGCCTGGAGCCTCTGCACGTGCTCCTGGAGGGCCGGGACCCGCGGCGGGAGGCGCTGCGACAGGCCGTGAGCCACTACCTGCTGAGCAGGGCGCGCTGGCGGGACTGCAGTCGGCCCTGCCTGCCCGGGCAGCAGAAGAGCCCCCACGACCCGTGCAAGTGCGTGTGCCACAGCTCAGCCAACACCAACCACGACTGCTGTCCGCGGCACAGGGGCCTGGCCCGGCTGGAGGTGATGAACTTGCAGGCCACAGGCCTGTGGGGCGACTTCATAACTGCTTCAGATGCCTACGTGAAGGTCTTCTTTGGCAGGCAGGAGCTGAGGACAGACACCGTGTGGAACAATAACCACCCCAGGTGGACCACGCGGCTGGACTTTGGGGTCGTGCTCCTGCCCATTGGGGGGCCCCTGAGGGTGCAGGTCTGGGACGCAGACAATGGCTGGGACGATGACCTCCTCGGTTCTTGTGACCGGACTCCAAAGTCCGGCTCACATGAGGAGAAATGCAACCTGAACAATGGTCACCTGAAATTCCGCTACCATGTCAGTTGCTTGCACCACCTGACAGGGGAAACCTGCCTGGAGTATGCCCCCCAAGGGCTTCTGGGGGAGCCTCCGGGAAACCGGAGTGGGGCCGTGTGGTGAGAACAGTGAGCTCTGAGAGGACCAGTACCCTCAGGCTGAAGGGATTCCCCCAGTGGCAGTGGGTCCTGTCTTCATATTCCCCTTAGGCAGAAGGAAAAATTACGCTCAGACTGTCTTTCATTGAGGTGGCTGAATACACAGGCCAACTGAGTCTCCCTGTCCCAACTGCATTAGCCCTCCACCGTCTCAAGCCCCACAGTGACTGACCATAGACCACAGCTTCGGCCCGGAGCTGGCAGAAGGCCAGGCAGCCGTCCCCACCAGCCTGCTTAGTGCTTGTCCTTTAAGACCCTTCCCTTGCAGTGCTTTCTGGTGGGGCAAATTCTCCATTGTAGGTCTGCCCCTTCTGCCCCAGCTGCCTTGTTCTCACCTTCTTTTCAAGCTGAGAGCCCCAACATGGTGGGGCTTTGCCTCTCAGGCAAATCAAAAGCTGTCTCAACCTGTCACACTGTGTACACAGCTTGATAGAGGGCCAGTAAATACGATGTGACGGTGACCATGATGGTGGTGGTGTGGCAGAAGAAAGGATGGGGACTAAATGCCCCCTGGAGATAAACTTGTATGTTAGCAACCCAGATAAAATGGGCAGGCGGCTAATGTAAATAAACTGCTTTTCCACTCTTGTTGGAAATGAGGGACCCCAAATATTTTACTTTTCTCATAACTCTCTGACTCAAGAGGCAGCAGCATAAGCTTGGATCAAATGGTGATAGACATTCTCCCCAGCTGGAAGGTAGTAGGGAATGCTGAGGACTGCGGTGAACTGAGGAGCACACGTCTTATTCTGCAGGGTTGGCCGCAGCTCTCTGCTCGAGCCAAACATTCCTGCATGGTAACGTGAGCCCAGTGTTGACAGGTCTTCTAGTTTCTTAAAGTAACCAGCAATCCCCATTTGACTTTAACTGTGGCAGTTAATTTCACTCTGTGAAAATAAACCTATGTGGGCAGACATGGTACAAGCCAAAGAGAATGTGTATTGGGGCCTTAATTGATCCAGGGCTATCAGCTTGGAAATTCTACTTTCAACAGAACGAATTTGCACAGGCAGAAAGCTCTCTGCTGTCTCACAGTTTAAGGGACAAAGGCATTGGTTTCAACACTGCAAGCACTGGTGTCTGAGGGCCTCCTGGTCTCAGCAGGCAGTAAACCCCAGAGTCTCGGGTTCTGATGTAAAGTGAAGTGGTCTTTATTTCATGTGCCTGAGACACAGCCCTCAGCAAACAGGCCCACAGCACAGGTGGCAAGATTCAGGGTGACTATGCAGGGCCACTGTCAGAGGGACTTAGAGGAGTGGCACAGCCCTACCAACTTTCTTTTAAACTCCCTATAAATTAAGCTCTTTGAGGTTTGCATGGGACCCATAGGCTCAAAAGCCAAGCAGTGACATTACGCTGACCCTAAATCCCCAAGTGGGGCAGGAGGGATTAGCAAAGTCTAGAAGGCTGGTGGAAACCACTGTTCTCATGTATTTCCATTCAGAGCAATGTCCGCAAACAAAAGCAAAAGAGATTTTGAAACTTCACACTGCCTGTTGCGCTAATTGAAAATAAACATGGGTGTGGGCCATACCCTGCCCCTCCCCAAGGGAAATAGATCACGGTTGGGGCAGGCCTGGCCCAGGCGATAGTCCTGTCAAGAGGTGGGAGTCTTGTTCAAGTGCCCATGTGGTCAGTGACCTCCGGCAACCACTCTGCTCCCTGGGCCTGTTTCTCCAAAGAACAATCTTTGTTTTACTCTCTTCTCAGGACTCTCTTAAAGGGGTCTTGAGCCTTTCTAGTGCTATGGAAGGGGTCCTGAAAGGTCAACTGGTTAACCTTGAAAGGTCATCTGGTTTTACATATAGAGAAACAGATCCAGAAGAAAGAAGGGATTTAACTGTGGTCACAGAACAAGTTAGTGGCAGAAAGAACCAGGTCTTTTTGAGTCATGCACACTCCACTCCGAGCACTGCTTTGATCCAAGGGGGCTTGGAAAGGAGGGCTTTTAGGGAAAAAGATACGGTATAACCGAGGAGAAAGACTGACCCACTGTTGTTGAGGGGCAGCTACTGTGGAGCCCTCGGCCCTAACTCAAGACCCAGCGTGACATTTTCATCCTCCCCCCTGGGACATTGGGACCCTCTGTCATACCTGAAGCCCTCCATTTGTTTGGGAGATTCTCCACTGTGCCGGATACCTTCCATGTGCCCTCCAGTTCTTGTCCCCAACCTGCTCCACCCTGCCCTGGCCCAGGGGGCTGACCAGTCTGAGCCTGTTAGTGGGCAGGAGATTGGAGGGCAGAGTGCAGAGAGGTAGCCTTTGGGGGGCTGTTCCTCTCCAGGAGGCCTCTGCATGTCTCTCTCTATCCCCTCATCCTTTCAGACCTAGAGTTGGTAAAAGCTCTGCCACTGCTAATCCTATCACCCCACCATCCCTCACACTCCCTGCAGCCACCTCCCCCTGGAAGGTGAGAATGCCCAATTCTTGCTTCCCTGACCTCCCTTATAACTAGGAAAAGACATGGGACTAGGGCTGCCAGTCACATGCACCTGCCCCAGGTATGGGGTCCCTTCAGAAGCAGGTGCTGAGAGCAGGGTTTGAGTGCAAATAATTTACATAGGAGGCAATCCTAGCAAAACCAGAAGGGAGAGGGGAAGTAAGCTAGGGAGGGGAGGGTGACCAATAAAAGGTAGATTATTCCACAAGTCACCACTGTGGGCAGCCAGAGCCAAAGCCCACTAGGGAATCCTGGGAGTCAATGGAGAACCCAGACCTCAGTTATCCTAGCCAAGGGGTGTCGATACCCCACCTCCTGTTAGTCATTTATCAAGGGTTCCTGGGGGTGGGCGCTAACTTTCCTGAACTCCTGGTCCACAAGGGGCAGGCAGAGCAGAGTCCAGCAGCCAGAGAAAGCTCCCAAGGGAAGGGAGACAGAGGCTGAGGGTCCAAGTCCAGGGACATGTGCTGAAATGATATTGTTCAAGGGGTATGGGCACTAACACTGCTCCACTTGGAATCAGAGCTGGCGTTGCAGTGGCCGCAGAGCTGCTGGTGACAATGTCCAGGCTTACCAGTCAGAGGCACAACCAGCAGCACCTAGGGCTCTGCAGCAGTGTCCCCCCTGGACAGTCCTGAGGCAGAACATGGAGCACTGTTGCTGGAGACCAGGCTGTCTGGCCATCCTGCCAACTCTGGGAGATACCCAGTCAATATTCTTAGCAAAACCTTCTTTTTCTACATATTTCATCAGGCCTGGCTTCTGTTACCTGCAACTAATGCCCTAGTGGATAGCACCTCCCCATATTCCCCTCGCTGCTTCAACACTCTATCCCCTTTCCCAACCATCCTTCCGCCCCACCATGGGGCGTGTCCTTAGCACCACCACTCAATGGTCCCTGGCACCTCAGGCACCTCCCTCCTCCTCCCTCCCAAGGGCAGGAAGCACAGCAGGGGAGTGACCAGACACTCAACAGATTGCCACTGAGCACCTTCTAGGAGCCAGGCCCTGCTGCCCCAGTGGCGAGCAAGCCATGAAGAGTGTCTGTCCCCATGAGGCTCACGTCTGGTGGGAAGGCAGATGTGGGCATGCAGGAGGATTCAGGGAGTCAGGACGACAACGTTCAAGGTAGCGGCTCAGCTGGATTGCTTTTCTCTCGTTTTCACACACATGCACACACAGAGACACACACGCACAGTTCCTGTTTGTTAGGCAGTTGCCACAGCATCTTCATATCCCTTCACACACACTTTCCTGGTCTCGGGGGCTCTGTTGGGCTGCTGATGAGCTGAGACAGCACACCCACCGTCCTGGACATGTTTGAATAGAAGAGGACCTGCTGGAGGGGAGGCAGTGTGGGGGTGGGAGAGCCCTGGCAGAGGTGGAGGGGCCCTTGCACCTTTGCGAGGCTGTGGTTCCTGGCGCTCACCGATCACTATACTAATCCTTCCTACAATGTTCTTCACTCGCCCACATCTGTCACCAAGCCATTCTGCATCCTGACATTTGTCCTCTGTCCTCAGAGCCACAGCCCCTCCAGCCGGGCCGCCAACACCTCCTGCTGGGGCTAGTGTGCCTTTAGCCTCCCCACTGATGCCCAAGCTCCTGTCTGCCCCTCCCTTGCCCTCCACCCTACAGCCACAGTGATGCCGGCACCCTGCCCGTATTCCCTCAGGCCCCACCCCAGCTGCCAGCCCCACACCTTGCCTGAAGCCCTGCACCAGGCCCGCTCTGCCTGCCGCGTTGGAAGGCCAGGAGTGCTGGGGAATAGTGCGCGTGCCCCACCCAGCCCAGAACATCCTGCGAGCAACCACTGAAGACGGTTGGTGCATAAATACTCCCACTCCCTCCCTGTCCGGGGGATGCCTCTGAGGGACACACTCCACACTTGCTCCCAGAGCTCTCTAGCAGGAGGAAGCTCTGGGTGTCCACAGTGGTGACCTACTTGGCCACACACTTTCTTGGCTGCCTCCCTCCCTGTCTCACTTTCCCACTCCCCTACTGGTATTTTCTGGAATCGCCTCCCACAGAAGCTCCTTGCCCTCAAATCCTGGGGACTGCATCTGGGGAAACCAGACAAGACACACATCTGACTATGCCATTGCCTTGCTTAAAACTCTTCACTGGCTCCTTGAAGTTCTTGGGATAAAGCACAGACTCCTCCCACGATCCACAGGCCCTATCTGGGGAAACCAGACAAGACACACATCTGACTATGCCATTGCCTTGCTTAAAACTCTTCACTAGCTCCTTGAAGTTCTTGGGATAAAGCACAGACCCCTCCCACGATCCACAGGCCCTACGTGCTGGCCTGGCTCTCAGCTTGTCCCACCTCGCTAGGCCCCGCCTCACTGAAGTCATTGGCCCCTCTGTTGGCCACACTCTTCCTGGCCCTTCACACATGCTGTCTCTTCCTTCTGGAGCTTTTCTCCTATACCTTTACTAAGTCCTCCTCCACCTTCAGGCTTTGGCTTCAAAGGCAGCTTCCTCCAGGAAGACTTCCCTGACTGCCAGGTCTAGGTTAT